ACACCTCAACCCGCCTCAAAGCCAACGCTGATTGGACGTTCGTTTGGTGAACGGCTCCAAATTTTCTTTAACGGAGAGTCTCCAGACTGATTTGTGAGTGAAACCTTGAAAGCTCGCGAGATCAGGATGGTCTCACAAGGCTAATGGTCTGCATGTTCAGTTTTAGTTTCAGCATATAACCATTGCTATGGTGTCTTTTGTTAGCAAAGTGACATGACAGGCAGTGGATTTTTAAAACTTTACAGCTGTAAGATATATTCACATTTCTCTTGTGTTTGTATTTGTTAATGACTGTTTTATGTTTCAAAACTGAAAATGGTTATATTGTAAATGATCATGGCATTGTGGATATTCTACAGTACATCTCTGTTCTGTGCTTGTTCTCAACCAATGCTTTAAAAGAAAAAAAACTAACAGAAATGTCTTTGTTTTTAATGAAATATTTAATTCAGGTGTCATTTAATCCAATTTTAGGTTGTTATAGTTTGAGCTTCCAGAAGCAGTACTTTATGTGGAGCTCCTCATTAGCACATTTAGAACGCAACACAAGAAGCTGCAAACTGGAAATGATACCTGGCGGGACAGCTGCTTAACAACAATCGCAGATTACAGTTTGGTACAGTTTGTACAGATGCATTTAACCTAACGTCATGCAGAGTATGTCATGGGAAAATCGAAGCCAGACATGAAGACATAAACAGATGGATTCTGCAGACCTTGAAAGGTCTGTTTTAGACATTTCCTTAACGGATAAATATACCCAAAGAGAGTCGTTTGGCACTTCTGTGTTAAACTGAAAGACTAAGATGACAGAGCGGGGGAAGCTGTTGGGTGGACAGGTCTGCATCAACAGAACGGTGGCATTTCTTTAATTGGCGCCTTTTAGAGCAAGAATGAGTCACTGCATTGTTCATGCTTGACGTATTCTACCATAGCATCAATACTCTGCTGTAATTCAATTATTTGAATGTTGAAAATCACTTTAGACTAATGGCATTATTAGATTTCTACTATCTAAACAAGTGGGTGATTTATTGTGTTGTTTCCGCTCCTTTTATATATATATATAAAATAAAAATTGTATTTTATGATGGTGATATTCCTCCAACAATGTGGTGTGTTTTCATCTATGGTGGAACCTGTTAGATCGATTGCCTCATTTTATGGACTGTTTTAAAGACCTTCTAGCTTTGCCTATTATTGTACTGTTTGTTGATATGATCTTGTAATTCTTTCCAAATGTTAAAATAGCTCCAAGGTTTGAAATTTTTTATTAAAGATTTTGTATCTGTAATGATAGAAATGTTGTTGAAGACAAATGAGTTCTTGCTAAACTCAGTGATCCAATGTGTAATAAAGTAAAACTGAAATAGAAAACAGTATTTTCACCACAGGTTTTCATTTCCTCGTTTTGTTTGAAATTCTCAACAAAAAAAAATAAGCATCAGAAACATTGCTTGTTGTGTTTTCTCCCATGGAGCGTGATGTATTCTGTGACATGATTTCCTTTTCTTTGATTAAAAGACTTATGCAAAAAAAAAAAAAACAAAACGGGGGCTTCTGTAATGCGTGTTTTAGAGACAAACAAACAACATCTCCTCTGGCTTAACAAGCAGATACTGGCTGAATATCATCATGCAAATAAACCTAAGGAGAATTCACAGACCAAAGACTCGTCATCTATTAATACATTTTGGTCTCCCTATTCTGTACTATACAATATATTAAAAAAATTGAAAAAAATAAAAAGCAGTTCAAAAGCTAGCCAGCCTTTTCCAGTTTTATACTGGAATAAATTAACTACAGATTTCTACAAAAAAGAGTCTTTTTAATAGCATTATTCCCGTTAAGACTTTCAACAAAATAGGAATGTTGTCCAATGAAGGAATTCATTCCCATACATTCCCCATTAGCCTTTTACTCATTTGTGCATCCCTCTTGGATCTCGATCTTTTCCTGACATAGGAGAAGAAATACTCCAGCACACCTTCTCTACACAAATTATAGGATATGTTTTTTAATTTTTAACTAACAATTCTATCTATGTTGATGAACCTCCTGGATTGATGAAGACTATCTCGCCTCAGAGGTTAGAATGGCAAACTGACAGCAGTTAGTTTTAGGTTTTTTTTTTTTGTTTTTTTTTTATTGGATTGCCCCTTGTAGATTTTTTAGATTTATCTCTTTATTTATCACATTTAAATGTGCCAGTTCATTACGGAGTATTAATATTTCAAAGAATATGGAAAAAATTTCCTTTTGAAAATGAGATTCACCTGAAAGAATCTTTCAATAAATGACTAGAAACAAGCCTGTATAAATTCTCAGTCGTTCGGGTCATGGCAACCACAGACAGACAACCGGACTTTTGTTTCACACTGTGGTAACCAAAAACAATTAAAGAACATTGCAATTATAACAATAACTAATGATCCCATTTACATTCAGTAAAATAGTGGGAATTTTAGTCCCTCAATGCCAATAAAGGCAATATAAAATAGGGTAGAATCAAAAGGATTGTACTAATTTTATAGACATTATTTAGTAAGATATAGATAGATCCACAATTTTTTTTCGTCGCATTTCGTCGTATTTTTACGTATTGCCTCGAGACAAGACATACAATTAACCCTAACCCTAAGATACAAAACAGCAAGCAACCTAGTTAGAGACATGAAGAAGTAATTATTGCACTGTTTTTCCCAGTTTTATGTCCGTCAGCGGATCTGCTTTTTTTTGTCTGTCTGGCTGCGCATGCGCACTGATGTGTTTTTTCGAGGAAAAACATCAAAAACGTACGAAATACTGTGCATAACTTTTCGTACGATTTCATGTGAACTGATAATAAGAATGTGTTGATATATGTGTGTGTGTGTAAAAAGCATGGCAAAATCCTTCGTCATCTTTACTGTTGGCAGGCTGCATCCATGTCCCGAATTCCTCATTTTCTTTTTTTTCCCGCTTTTGATGAAATTAGCATTTTCGCATTTTTTTTTAGCTTTTTCTCTGCCTCAAACATCTTTTCCAAGCATAGGGCTTTACGGTCAACGGTGAGCAGTTCTGCCCAAACACGTGGAACCAGTTATATCTTATATATCTTATATATCAGAAGAAATTGTTGATTTTTTGTGTATTTTTTTTAATAAAGCATTTAAAACATTTAATACATTTTAATGCCAATTAAGGCCTTAATTCAAAAAAATAATAATTGAATTACTTTTAATGATTTTTATTGACCTGTGGAAAACCTGTGAAAGTAAAGTTCCAAGGCATTCAAATTTGCATTGGGACACAAAAGCAGTGTGACCTAATCTTTGAGCTTTGAGTCAAACTCAGATTCTAAATATTCTTGTTAAGAATATTTCCAAACCTTCAACTTTCAAGTCTCAAAGTTAATCATTATCTTCATTCAGTCATTCATTATCTTCTGATTTGATTTTGATTTCATGTTAGCTTCTGCTATGCTGTTAGCTCTAGTTAATATAGTAGACATTTATTCACAAGTTGATCACGTTTGTTTCATACAGATATCTCACATATAACGCCTAATGGAAACTGAGGCTAAATTTACAGTCAAAGTAGATAAAACCTTTCCAAAAAAGTAAAAAAACAAT